GGTGCATTGGATGTTAATGACCTTGAATTTTGGGCACTTGGATGCTGTCCCTGGGGAGCAGAGGTATATGGGCTCATGGTGCCTGGTCCTGTGGTGAGCTGTGGCACACACTGACTGCAGGAATCAAATTTCATTAAGTTTTTCTCATGTCACAGTTGAGCAAATGTGAAAAATCATACTGAGATGGGGAAATGCTGGTATGATTCTGAAGAAGAGAATAAGAGTAAATCATGTTGCAAAAGTAAGATGATCAAGGCAGTCTTAACTTGGTTATGATGTGGCAGAAGGTTAAACTTTCTGATATTCTGTTCAGAAGCCACTCAGCCTTAAAAGACTAAATATTTAGCAATTATTTTTTTCTAAATGTGAAATATTCTCTTTGAAACAAAGACTGTAGCATTAGTTTTTAAAGGAAGACAGTTCTACTTGAAGTACTTTTGACCACCAAGCAGGGGAATTCTCAGTTTTTTAGATTTGCAAGGGTATCCACAAATTTGGGATTTCTAAAAACAGCTGTCCCATGAGCTTCCCCATCACAATGTGGAAATTTATTGAATTATACTTGGATTTCTCATCTGGAGTCCAGAAATAGTAGTGAGTAAAATTAGAGATGCAGCAATTATCTCAATTAGCTACTGTATGGATGAGCAAATGATACTGTGTGATGTGAGATATCAGAGTTCCTCTTGGTGTTCATACCAGACAGTACAAATCTAAATTGCCAGCGTCCCTACCAATAGCAAGCCTTCTCCAAACAGTAGCATGTGATCTATTTTTTCTCATGCCTGAGGAAAAAAAAAAAAGAAAAAAAAGGTGGATATTTTCTGCCTGATTAACATGGTTATTTTTAAAATATTCTGTATTCATGGCTGTAAACAGAAAATCCTGTCAAACTAAGCTATGTATCAGTCATATACTGCCCTGATGCAGAGTGTAATTTCATAGAATGATTTAGGTTTTGGTCAAAACTCGTCGAATTCTACCCTCCTGCTGTGGGCAGGGATGCCTCCCACTATCCCAGGTTGCTCCAATCCCCTCCCAGCCAGGCCTTGAACACTTCTGGGGTTGGGGCAGCCACAGCTTCTCTGAGCAGCCTGTACCTGTCACCACTCTCACAGGGAGGAATTTATTCCTAGTATCTAATCTAAATCTATATTTTGTGTGACCCCTCACTGGAGATAAGGAGGAGAAGGCTCTGAAGGGAGGGGAAAAAATCGATGGCATGGTAATCTATTAATAGGAACAGCCACTTCTTTATTAATTTGCTAAATGAGTTGGACTGTATATATAGAAATTGTACAGCAATTAGGCTGATCCTGAGAGCAGGTTGCTGGAGACCTGGAGTGTGCAGAGGTAACATTTGATTTATTGCAAGACCCAGCATGAGCCCAGCTGCAGGGACTGGGTTTGATTTATCTGCTTTCATTGCCATGTCTCCCACAAAGGGTCTGGTAAGGCCCACAGTGCAGGGACCTTGTGGATCTGGAATGTTACCTGTTCTTCTGCATCTCTTCATCTGCATTATTGTTTTATTGTTTTTTGCTGCTGGTTGTGGGGTTGTTTGGTTTTGTTTGTTTTTTTTAAGTTTTGGGGTTTTTTTGGCAAAGTTCCCGTTATTAAATTTTGGTTATACAAAGGGGTGCCTTTTTACTAAATCTAAATCAGTATTAAAGGGCAAGAGACTGAAACCATTGTAAGGTTATCCAATGGATTATTGTGCTTGAGGACAGTTGGTATCTTTCTGGTATCTGCTTTGGTGATCCATGCTCAGCATCATGCCCTACTGGGATCAGTGGCCAGTAAAAAACAGGGATGGGAAATGCACAGCCAGCCATGTGAAAAATCTCAAAATCTTGAATTCATCCTGGGAAGCGTTCAAGGCCAGCTTGAATGGAAGTAGTGGAAGGTGTCCCTCCCTGTGGTAGGGGGTTTGGAAAGAGATGAATTTTATTGTTCCTCCCAACCCAAACCATTTTGTGATTCTATACAAAACAACCCGAAAGTGGTTTTGCTGCTTTCATCCATTGCTAATGACCACTGGTAAACCTGTTTGTGGCACACAAGTGGCTACCAAGCACTGTTTTATGTTGTGTATTCCCTCTATGTTGTTCTGTTTTAACTGTGCACAATGAAGTTCCCAATGCTCCGTGTTTGTTCTGAATGAAATCCGATTTATCACTAGTGCTCTCTCATCCATGGACCCACAACTGATCGTTAATCAAGAGATATAATATAAACTAGCTCTTATGCCTTGGCATTCTTTTTGTAAGAGCAGAAAAGGGTTTTGTGCAAATCACATCAGGTTCACACGTGTTGATACAGCACACTGCAGCTACAGGGGAGTGAAGCAGTGTCACAACAGATACTGAACTCTATTTGGTTTTGATTTTCATCCTGCCTAATCCAGGTAGAAATATTTATCATACTTGATGACACTGGGGTACTTTGTCTTTCGGAGATGCAGTTTTTCTTTAGCTACATGTCTGGTGAAAGGCAATCCTGAAGCAAACATAATGCATTGATTTCTACATAGTGATTAGGCACATCAGATACAGAATCATGCCTGATCAAAAAAAAAATTCTGTGGTTCTGTTTCATTCCGTACTCAATTGACTAATGTTAAAAAGTAGAAAATAGGTACTAAAAGTGAACCTTGACAAAAAAAATCTGTTGTATTGCACTAATGAAATGCTATTTAAAGTGGTACATGAAGATGCTTTTTAGAAAGACTGGAAAATCCAAAAGAGGTTTTCCTTTCAAAGCAGATTATTTATGCTCTGTTAAAATTAGATTTTTAGTTAAAGGAATTAGCAGTCATTAAAAGGTGACCATGAAATAAGTCTCATTTATAACCATCTGCTTTATGGCTTCTGCAGAAAAGTATTCCTCAGGCAATGCATTCAAGAACTTTGTTGTCATTTTTATCAAAATAGTTTGGTTCTCTACCGGTAACTGTATTAAAACCACTGTGTGATTTTTATTTTATTTTTTTTTTAAACTTGACATCAGTATCATCTTCAAAAGTCTACCTGGAGCTGCTTCCTTTTTGTGCTGTACTTTAAGCCTTGCTGTGGCTGCCAGGTATTTTTCTATTTTTTTGTGTACCCTCCTGAAATCTTGAGCATTCTCAGTGTTATTGGAGGTTTCTCCAGGGAAGGGATGTTTTGAGGGACGAACACACCAAACGCTGCTGCCTTCCCAGGAATGAGAAGTGATGGCTTGCAGCCTGACCTCATGTTCTCCCATTGCAGTTCTAACATGCTTTTCCTCTGAACCCTGCATCTGTTTTTTGGGATAGTTTATATTAGTCAGATCTTACAATTATAAAGGGAACAGATTAAAAGAAGGGAAACTTTGAAGACCATCCTTTGTCTTTCACGATGTCTGTGCAGACATGGAAATAACAAAGGGGCATTTTATAAAAGTGAGATGAGACATGGATGTTTGTTTAATAGAGTCTTGATAGTCTATTTCCTTTTGATCAATAGTTGTAATTAGTTTTAGTGTTTCTAAGCTTTTGAACTGCAGAGAATTCAAACATCTTGTTAGTGTGAGGAACTCCAGGAAACTTTAAAAGTATTCTTCCCTTTTGCATATATTGCATGTACACAGGCCTAATGACAGCAGCTGTAGCTGAGTTTTTTTATCCTGTGCCCCATCTCTCAAACTAATATTTTGAAAAGCTCAGAGAGGTCTCTGGAGTAGAACTTCCTGCACAGATCAGAGGTCTGCTGCATAAAGAGGATAAATGCTTTGAAGTCTGTGCTAATCCTGAATGCTATTTTACATATTGCTTAAGATCACTGAGGTGATATCCTACAGGGAATAATGACAGTATTTTTATAAGCAAATACCCATTTTTTTGTTTATCCCCTTCAGTTGACTTGAAGGGTGACAAGGAGACCATTTCTGCTATTCTGATCCTTCTCTAATGTGGTGGAAATTTGTTTTGTGGAAGACAGCTTATGATTGTGTGAAGGAAAGAGCAGCAGCATCTGCTGCCTGCACATGTGATGACAAAGGACAGTATAAACTGTGACCGTGTTTGGGCCAGGACGTGGGTGATGTGAGGTGGCCTCTGGGCTGAAGGAGACCTCGGCTGTGGCTCTGTCCTGCCCTGGGACTTCCTGTGAGGTTCTGGGAGGGGGCAGGAGGCAGAAAGGGGCATTTCTGTAGGCAGTAAATGGGGTACCTACAGCACTGCAGCGTGTGGTGCCCAGAGCCTTCTCTTCTCCAGACTGAACAACCCTACCTGGCTCGGCCTGTCTCCACAACAGAGATATTCTGGATGGTCTTCACAATTCTGCTATTTCTAACACTGGCTGCAAGAAGTAACTCGAATGATGGAAATTTGGACATATTTTAAGTTAACTCATAAATAACGTTACTGTGGGGAATTAAATATTTATTCCTCTGAAGTCTCACCATTAGTATAAGCAGATAGTGTTGCCTGGGAATGCAATACCTTTTGAGACAGTGTTGTTTTAAAACAAGTTTCTATATTAGAGATGGTTGTGATGTTTTGCAAAAAAAAGACTGCAAAAAAATTATGTAGGTGTGCAAGGATTTAAATGAATCCTCTGCTTTCAGCATGAGTAGTCCAGTGGCTTTGAAATTATTCAGATATTTGAAGAAGTCTCTGCTAAAAATATCTGTAATGGTGCCTCCTTCCTCAACTCCAAATCTTTGGTGTAGTAATAATAACTCTCCTAACTGCTCCCTTTTTGCATCAATAGAGGGAAGAAAATCCATTTTCAAGACAAATGTTGTATTTTACAATGTATCACACAGTGATGAGTCATTTTAGGTGTTATATCCATTAAATATCTGTGGACAAACTGAAATGTGTGCTTGTAATTACTCCTTAGTTATTGTATTGAGCTTCATAGATGCTTCCCTGGTCGGTAACTAATGTTTTTAGGGAGGTTTGTTCATCCTGCTTTTGAACAATTCTTGTATTTAATAAAAAGCACAGTAAAAAATTATCTTTTTCCTTACAGGACTCCAGAAGGCTTGAAGTTACAAGAAGAAAAGGTAGGAAAGCAAGTTTTCTTTCAGTGTTTGTGTTGGTGTTGAGTATTCTTGCAGTAACTTTTTAAAACAAGCATTAATTCACACACTTGAAAGGTTGTGCTGCTGTGGGTTTTCCAACAGTCTGTGCCTGGTGCTTATCTGACAGTTCTTAGTGTTGCAAATTGTAAATTTTTAATTCTTTTTTAAAAGAAAAGGTGCTCTTTAAGCACGGAATTGCATAATGGTGTTGGGCGTGCCTGTCAAGGTTTGTGTGCTGGCAGGACATCTACATGGCTTTAAGTTGAAGGAAGATAATTTTTATTAGATTTTAGGAAGCAATTCTTCCCTGTGAAGGCAATGGGACCCTGGCACAGGTTGCCCAGAGAAGCTGGGACTTGCCTTATCCCTGGAAGTGTTCAAGGCCAGATTGGAAGGGGCTTGGAGCAACCTGGTCTAGTGGAAGGCATAGCAGGGGGTTGGAACTGGATGCATTTTAAGGTCCTTTCCAACCCAAAACATTCTATGATAAACTCAAAACCTGGAGAATTTCAGGGAGAAAAAGGTGCAGACAAGGCTTTCCATGCCTCAGCACACCTCAGCTCCAAGCAAAGGTGCATTCATGCTCTGAGATCCGCTCCTGCTCCTGGGAACTCTGCTACCTCAGTAACTAATTGACTTCTGGTAGGTGGCTCTTTGATGGCTCCTGGCAGCTGAGGGAGAATTGGCCATCAAAGAGGTCATTCTGGTTATCATTCATTTTGATTTTGTTCAGCAGATGTTTTCTGGATCAGGCAGTTGCTTTCCTTATCTGTCTTGGTAGAATGTGAAGCAGGTGGCACTCTCCTGTTCGATGGATTAATGCATTCCCTGTTCCCTTCCAGCAGCTTCTTGAATTGCTTCAGGCATCCTGTGTATTGGGAAGAGGTTGTAACTACCAGTGTTTTACTGCATAATCAAAGAAGGTCAGGTCCAAGGGTAACTTGTCATTTGGGCAAATAATCTTTTTTTTTTCATTTAGATGTCCAGTGTATGCATATGTTTGATCAAACTTCTGCCATTCTTCATGAAGAAATCCAGTTCTATTGTACTTCCCTCAGTCTCAAACTGAGGGGGGCTCTTGGGTGGGTCAAGCCTGCTTTGAGATGCAGAAAAGCATCTCAGTGTTGTGGACATGGACACATTTCAGGCATGCTCTGGCTGTAGTTTGTGGTGCAGTTCATTATAGGCACGGAGACTGAATCCAGTCCTGTGGGTGTACCTCTAGTCATTTTTCAGATATGAGTTCTATTTCCAAAGCTTTCTTCCCAGTGAAAGTAACCAGCACATATGAGAGCTTAAAGATAGCAATTTTTGAAACCAGGATTGAGTTTACAGATCGTGTGCTTGGAGAATGTTACTTCAGAGCAATAAATGAATTTGGAGATCAGTCCCTCAAGACATCAAATTTCCAGGCTAAGTGAGGCTGATTGGTCATTGCTTTCAGAGGATGGGTAAGACTTAACTTTTATTTTAAGGGGTAAAACCATAATTTTTTTTCAGAAGTGAATTCAATATAATGGACTTGTCTGTTAGAATCTTAGTTCTGTGGCTGGAGTGAAGGGGATGGCATCTGAGGGAGTAAAGATGTATGGATAAATTTGGCTTATGCCCAGCAAAGTGATATGTGGAGTATCAAGTCTGTCCGAAGAACTGCAAACTCCTCAGAAGTCAAGAAAATGCTAACAAACATGGTAAATACCTCTTGATCACAAAAGCCTGTGGATTTCCAGAGCTACCTAGGGATTTTCAGCAATGTTTTAAGTATCTTCCTCTCTGGAGTTATTCCTCAATAGTGCCTGTAAAATAATTCATCTAAAGGCTCCTTCAGAAACCTCTTAAGTATTAAAATGTGCACAGAGCAGATATTATTTGGTGTAAGGAAAAAAATAACAGGAGGCTTAGAATGCACACAAAAGGATTTCTTGTAAATTTTGTGATATGGTATGAGGTGACTCTAAGATCCAGGCCTTTTCCCCCTAAAAATGGTAATTTTTGCAGATAATGGTTTTTACCCGAATAAATGAGATTATTGGAAGAGATCTGGGGTTGGAGGTTTATCCTTGTTCTGTTCCGTTGGTAGATATTTTGGCTTTCTCTTAAAAAGCCAAAAAACTGGAAAATATCTCATAGAAGCATCCACAAATGCGGGAGCTCAGCAGATTTACTCTGTATCTGCTTTTATTATAGCAGGCTTATGGATGATCCAAGATGATTAGAAAAAGACCTTTTGGTGAAAGGAGGGGCAATCCTGGTTTAGACTTTTCAGAATTTTTCTTTATTTTGGGACAAAAGGTTTGATCCTTTAGATTTAGAGCAGACACTTTTCTTTCAAAGGGAACAAAGCCTTGATTGTTGTTGAGCATGAAAACACTTTTTTCCTTTTTTTAAGCTGTGGATGAGTGTAGTTAAACTGGAAGGCTTTTGGTTTCCAAAGTGTCAGGTTTATATGTACTGGAGAAATTTTGAACCTGCTCCAAAGCCCATTACAGTCAATGAATGGTTTTCCTTTGACTTCTGTGGCATGAGATCAACAGTAATTGCATGATCTTTTAATTGCTGTAGTATGGAGGAGAGATGTTTCCCTGACTGTAGCTGGCAGCCACCTCTCAGTGATGTTTGGAGACTGATTTTCTTACCAATTGAAATGAAAATGTTTGCAGAACTGTTTTGTTCCTGGGATGCCTAACTGGTGTGCAAATATTACCCTTTTTGACTAAAAATAATTTTTAAATCAAAAAACCCCTCAATCTGGGATTTGATTAGAAGCTGTGGGAATGTTTTACTAAATTCACTTGAAATTTGTCTCCAAGTTGGTCACACATATGACCCCACTGTGATACTAATCTCTATTACGCACATGCAGTGGACCCAGAATATGGGGTAGGGTGCCAGGTTTTGTGCTATGCTTTGAAAACAAACTCCCAACTAACCAAAAAATCTCAAAATGCAAACTCAAGAAACCCCCTGCATGTGATAAACAAGCATAGGATTTGAATACCATCCCTCTATATTGCTCTGTTGAACTAAAATCACAGAGCATATTTGGGCAGGCAGATCATTTTTCACTAACTGAATCTTTTCTCTTTTCCCATTTTTATGTTAAATTTCCATACTTTAGTTCACAGGGAAGGAGAATGGAGGCAAAAGATGAATAACATTCACACTCCTGTCAGCTGTCCAGGGCAGTGTAATACTGCAGGAGAGCAGATGGGGAAGAGCAAAACAGGAGTAGGGAACTGGGAAAAGCAGCAGTTTGTGCAGATCATGTGGACGTAGCAGACATTTAGTGAAAAGGATGAAGAGAGTAGTGAAAAGGCTGAAGTGTCAGAATGGTTGGGCTTGGAAGGAAGGCTAAAGCCCATCCCATTCCACCCCTGTAATGGGCAGGGACACCTTCCGCTATCCCAAGTTGCTCCAAGCTCTGTCCAGCCTGGCCTTGAACACTTCCAGGGATGGTGTAGCCACAGCTTCTCTGGGCAACAAGTGCCAGTGTCTTACCACCCTCACAGGGGAGAATTTCTTCCTAGAATCTATGTAATCTGACGAGAAGACCCTGTGCAGGAAACTGGGAGACTGAAGGGTGTGTGTTAGATTGGCAGAAACACAGGACCAAGTTTTTAGAGAGCATGTGCAGACATTAGGCTGGACAGTGGCAGGGTTTAATTTTAAAGATTGGTGACTTTTCCCTGTGTAATGAGTGTACATGAATGCATAATACTTACCTGTTGCTGTAAATTATACCATACAATTTATATATGCTAAAACTGTGTATATTTGTGTCTGTCAAATTTCCCATGTCTGGCAGAACAGAACCTCCAGTGGTTTCCCCAGTTATTTTAGTGGCAAGAACACAGGAACTGATTTCTGCGACTTTTGGAGCTGACAAGTGTTAACATTTCAGTTGGCACTGTGGGGTTGAAGGATGCTGAGTACTAGAACAAATTGTCTGCTGAGCTCAAGCATAGGTGTAGTCACATTTAGCATAAAGAGCCAGGTCCTCACTAGATAGAAATAAGCAAAGATCTGCTGAATTAATGGACCACCTTTGCTTTTTACTAGCTGAGAATCTAACCCGAGAACTTAAAACTTTTGTTTTTATGTTGTTCACAATCATTCGTTCAACAAATTAGTGTCAAAAGATGTTTTTGAAACCATTCAGCCAAGAAATGTTCAAGCAAGTTGCTTCTGCTCTGACCACGTAATCTTATTAAATGAGATGCAATTCTAGATTTATTCAGACAGATGACATCATGATGCCATAAAGATACAAACTTTAAATATCTGGTTTGAATTAAAACTTCTTTGAAGTTTTCACAAGCTCTGTGTTGTGGATGTCCTGTTTGTATATATTTATTACAATCCACATTGCTATACTGTGATTCCTAATCACAACGTGGACCAATAGAATATAGTACACCCTGGGCCAAGTTGCCAGAGTTTTACTGAAAAATCTCTGCATCAATTAGCAGTGGTAGAGGATTGAGCCAACAGCTTAAGAAATATTTAATTATTCTCCACTTTACATCAATTTTTATGTCTATAGCAGTTTCAGTAACTGGGCTGAAACACTAATTTCGTGTAGTGATTTTGATTTGCCAATTTGCAATTTCCCAGCCAGCGCACCAATTTATGTGGTGGGTTTAGCACAGGCCAAATTGCCAGTGCACCCACTAGAATTATTTACTCATTTCCTGCTGTGAGATAAGATTAGGAGGAGGAGCAAAGCGGGCTCAAACTTTGAAGGGTATAAAGAAAACTTTATTAACAGAATTGAAAAGAAAAAATAATAAGAATCAGAATAAAACCTTCAGAACACCTTCTCCTCCCCCCACAGCCTTTTTTTCTTTCACACTGACAATGTACAGAAACAAATCAGTCAGTTTACCATTTCTAAAATAGTCTTTCTCCAATATACTTAGGGTGAGGAGTGTCTTCAGTCTTCTGGAGACTTCTCCACAAGAAACAGTTCTCTTGTGGTTTCA